AATAGTACCTATTATGGCTAAACTACCCATTTTCTTTAACACAATCGGAAATGCATTAGTATTAGGGTATAACTAACTTAATACCAGTACCAGTACTTGTCAACTTATGCGGTATTTAGTACAAATACCAGTATTGTTACCAGTAACTTTTATTTTAGAAGTAATTAAGTACCAGTACTTTCACGATTCACCATATTTTGCATACAGACTGTTAAATATAAATTTCAACAACATAGAGTTCTTAACATAAAAGTATGAAAATAAATAGAATAATTTATTTGATAAAAATTTACTCTTTCAATCTTTTTATGAAAACCAAAGTTGTCCTTTATAAAATTAATGCAGTGCCAGTACAAATAGCAGAAAATAATTTTATGCTAGTAATTCATTGACAGTTCATTTGTACCAATACAGTACTTGCAAAATAAATGTTCAGTCCCAAAATTTAATCAGAAAAGTTAAAAACTGAAGGAAAAAATTAAAAGGATTTTTAAAAATAAAACATTTTTAAAAATAAAAAAAGAAAATTAGGATTAATTTAACATGGAAAAAATTTTTAACTCCATCTTATTTTTCCGGTTAAAAAAAAATAAAACCGTTACAAAATTTTTTTTGGGCCTTTCAAAAAAAAGGGAGGAATAATTAAAAAAATCGAGAATTCAATTTTTGAAAGTAACCAGGAAAAACTGGTTTTCAAAAAACCTTCATTACTTTTTTTTCTTATTTTAAACTTCTGGGTAGTGGGGAATTTTAAACTAAAATTTAAACGGTTTTACCCTGATTTTCCCAATGACAAAATTATTAATTAAAAAAAAAAACTGTATTTTTTGTTAAAAAAGCAATTACATTTTTTTTTTTTTTAATCGTAGCGGGGAAGGTTTTTCCCATTTTTTCAAAAAAATTTTTAAAATTTTTTTTTTAGGAAATGCGCAGTGTTTAGTTGATGTGGGATTTGCACATCTTAAGATTAAATTCCGTAGACATGATTTAGAAAAACAACAACATCTAGCCGATGTTACAGAGAAATCGTCTACAACCAGCAGAGCTGTGGTCAAGGCAGCAATGGAAACTCATTCTAGATATTTTTCAAGTATAAGGTAAACTATCTTTATCGCATTCAAATGAAAATATTTTAAATGAAAATATTGTTAACTTTAAAGTCGGTGTTGAATAACAGTATGTGAAATTCAGTCACGTTTACGGAGCTGTCCAAATTGGTCCATTCTTGTAACTAAGATATTTTAAATGTGCACAGAAAAACATTTAATATTGTTGATTTATAGAAGCATATTAGGAAATAAGTTTGTGACAGTTGTCATTACGATATTTATCGTTTTCTTTTGATAGAAAATTCCATCACATTCGGCTCCAGACAGACACACAGGGTGCAATGATGGCCAGAATAACACCCGAAAGCGAGAAACAGTTGATTCAAGTCTCGCAGTAACCAGGATTACGTTTCAGTTCAGGTGTACGTCCATGAATTATTACGCCTGCGGGTTTCAAAAAAGCGCAATAGATATTTGGTACAAAGCGTGCGAGCGTTTCTTAGTCAAGACAATCAGTCATATTATCAGTAATCTAGGTGCACTGTTATAACAGTTTAGTGCATAAACATATTTCAAACTACTTCATGTTCATCATACAGCATTATTGAATTGTTTTACAATTTTCTACTCTGTTTTGTTCTTAAGAAATAAAAAAGTAAACGTAGAATTTTGAAATTAACCATTTATGTATTATTTTTCATAGTCTTATGATATTAAACGTTAAAATACGTGACGTATGTCTATTGTTAGTTTCTTTCTTTGTATTGGGGAAAATCTTTTAAAAAAATTTTCTGCTGAAAATGGAGATTTCAAACCTAAAGGCACCCCGTGCATACAAAACTCCCCTCAAACCCTGTGCCCTTTTGACCGTGGTTTTGCCAAAAATTGCTTTACAGTCGTACCCTATTTTTTAAAAAAATTCCCCGTAAAGATGATCTTCGTCCCAAATTTAAAAATATTTTTTTGCACGGGGAATGGGGGGTTTAAAATAAAAAATGATTGCCCCCTGTATACAAAGCCCCGTTCGTGTTTGTCATTACGTTTCTTTAAACCCAAAAAGATGATAGTCCCCAATTTGCGAGAAGTCCCTTTTTAACAAAACTTAAATTCTTATAAATCCCCCGTTGCTTTTTGTAAATTTTAATATTTTCAATGTTATTTTGCAAAAAAGTTTAAAATATAAAAAAAAGGTTTTAAAATTTAAAAAATGAAGTACTTGGGATTGTGGGAAAATTTTTTATTTATTCTAAAAATGTGACGACAAAGTAAAATTTTTAAAATTTAAAATCAACAAACGATTTACAAAAATTTCTTTTTGGGGGCCCATAAAAAAAATTCCCCGTGACCCAAATGGAAAGTTAAAACACTTTAATACAAACTAAAAACAAATTGTTCCCCCCTTGCTTTTTTAAAAGGAGGCAAAACCCCCTGTAAAAAGTTTTACATAGATGATGGAAAAAACTAGATTTTGCTGCCCCGGGAAAAAATTAAAAAAACCTAAAGAGTATTTAATTTTAGTAAAAATGGGGAGTTTCTTTAAAAAAACAAAGACTTTAAAACTAAAACCAACCAATAAAAACCTTTTATTGTTTAAGTGAAAATAAAAAAACACTTCAATTACCTTTGAATATGCAAATAGATTTGTTTGACAAACTTGTATAACCAGTTTTCCTATACGATTGTGGTTGCTGGGGATATGGTAATAACAGTATACTTGAAAAGGTACAATTGAATATATGTAAGGGTCTATCAGATGTTTGCTAATCATAAGCGGTTAGTTGCTAAATTAATGTAAAGCAAAAATTCTCAGATTTATTTCTAAATGACTGGTTTTGTACAGAATCGAGTAAATGTAAAAATTATAAATCATTTAAAGAAAAATTCCATTTCGAACTCTGTTTAACAAATAAACCAAAAAAACTTACAGCAGGCTTCCTGAAGAAACCGGAATTTGGAATGGTATAGATTTAATTTTACGTAAATTTACACTTTGTAACAGCTCCGAAAGTATTGGAGATGAATTCCAAAATTTTTTTGCTTTAATTTTCAATGAATTTCTTTTACTTTTTAAAAAAAGAACGTTTTAGCCTCGTAATTATTGACGACATCAAAATTTATTTTTAAACTTTTAAAACTGTTATGAATATGCAATTAAAAACTATGTTAAAAGAAAAACAGGTTTTTTTTATTTATTTGTAAAAGGGAAAAATCACGAAAATTTTATAAAAAGATTTTCTAAAATATTTGGGTTCATCATGTCCCTTAAAAAAAAAAGCTTGTCCTTCTCCATTTTTGTTTTAAAGAAGAAATTTTATCAATTTTTTATTTTTTTTGCATGGGTTTGGGGTATGGGGATGAACCCTTTTTTTTTAAAAATGTTTATAAATGGGTTCGTTCCAATAAATTGCAAAGTTTTGGGAAAATGAAATTTTTGGGTTTTAAAAAAAATTTAAATTTTGAAACTTTTTTAAACTTTTTTCTTTACAGTTAGATCAAAACAAATTGAGATGATATAAGATAAATGAAATTGCCACTTTAAAATTCTTTCAATTAATAAAACGTCAACACAATTTTTCGAACGTCATTTGTTAATAAAGTGTTTCAAATATATATGACGTTCTTTTAATAGGGTTTTATCCTCAATAAATAATTTTTGATTTAAAATTAAAAGCGTTTTTTCACTATCTCAATTCAGAAAATTAAATGAGATAACAAAAAACAAATTTCGAAAAAATAACCGTTTTTTTCGCTCGTGCGATCCAAAAATTTATATCTGATACATATCCTCTTTCGATTTCGTACCTTCTTCTTGGAACGATCCAAAATCGGAAGAAGATGTGTATCAGAGATAGATTTTTTGATATCTTATATATTGGTAGGTCTGCCCTTTTTGGTTGAAATTATATTTTATGTGTTATATACTTATTCTGTGTTACATGTAGATCATTTTTTCTTTCCAACCGAAATCATAATTTTATGTTTTTTTTTGCCCCTTTTTTTATTGTTATGAATATTTCCGGTTTTATAAATAAACAATAGAAAAGAAAACAATCATTTTTAAGCCGAAATATGTTATTAAAAACATGTGAGTTTTAAGGTAATTTTTTAAACTAAGATATAAATTCCAACATATAGAGGATATTTGTTTGTTTGTGTGTAAAATGAAATTTTATTTCAACGAGTGGGCTTTAAAAACAGTATTTATTCTCACGAGTGGCGTAGCCACGAGTGAGAATACTGTTTTTAAAGTTCACGGAGATGAAATAAAATTACATCTTACACAACAAACAGACCCAAATTTTCTTTTTATTTTATGCTTTAAAACAAGTTAAAACGAAATTTCCATAATTTTAACGTTAATATTAAAATCTGTTTCCCCCATTGAGAGCCCCATTTAGAGGGAATTTCTCATTAAAAAACAGAAGTCTTTGAGCTGAAAAAATAAGTCCGCCAATCAAGGTTAATTGACGGTGATATTTATTCATTTTATTAAAAAAATATGAATGATCGCTTGTTTTAATAATAAAAACAAACAATTTCTTGTAGGAGAAAAAGTCCAACCATCCATCCATATTTCTGTTACTTACTGCGAATTTATTTAGACCTGGCTTTGTAAAATGTAAGCGGCAGCCATTTTTTAAAGTTGTGTATTTCATGGGAGGAAAATAATTGTGTAAGATTCAGAAGGATATAATTTGGATTTGTTAGTCATACACCTTTTTAAAAGAAAGAAAACTTATTTGAGGATTGTAACAGACAAAAATAAGTGTTGACAGAAGTGAAAACATTCAGAAAAGGAGCTAGGAAAATGGAAAAACTTAGAAGCTTGCTAAGGCATTGTAAGGAACGCTGGGTTGTTTTACTTATTTTACGAGTGATGGCTGTCAATGCTTTTCAATTTTTCATAAAGCATACGGCAGTTATTGCTCGTAGGATACTTTAATATGCCCAAATGTCATCAAGAGCAGTTTAGCATGGGGAAGGAATGTATTTTTCAGACTGGGGTAAAAACGAAACAAAAAAAATTTAGAGACGAAATTTTTGTGATTGGAATTTGAAGGAATAGAAGTAAGTTTTCTCTCTTTATTACTTTTGACATTTAAGTTATTTATCTATTTCAGCTTTGCTATTTTTTAACAGCCTGATATTGTCAGAATTGTCAGTAAAAATAAAATTGAGGTACCACATGGGGAAAATCTTAAAAAAGTAGTTTCGTCATTGAAAAAAGTGAAATTATATTTTGATAATTTTCACTGTGAAATTATCAAATATAATTTTCACGGATAAATCAGTAATCCACTGAAAAGCATAAAATAAACATTGTATTTTATTAAATTGATCGAAATGAATTAGCCATAAACCGATACTCATTTTTGAGATCCATATGGGGTTCCGAACCCATGATACTGATATAAAAACTTAAACGTAATTTCGCATGACGTTAACTTTATTCGTTTTGTTATAAGGAACATGTGCTTTTTAATAGCTTTATAGGGTATATGGTACCAGTCGTCCAATTTATTAATGTGACAAAATAAATAACATGATTGTGTAGATTACAGATTCAGACAGCATTGTCTCTATACATTGACATATAAAAGGGATTTGTGCTTGACATTCTTCGCTTGTATACGCCTTTTAAAGGGATACATATTCAAATGTAGAACACAGGGAAACAACTTATGCGCTTTTCTTGTCTGCTTATAAAGAACTTTTATGATAAAAAAAAAAGGAAATCAGACAACTTTGGTAATTTACGAAATGAAGAATTTTATTTTGGTCAAATAACAAAACATTTATTGTATGAAGATTTTCGTGAATATCTATGTTTATGAACCTGGCTTATGTAATATTGACCTCGGCCTCTCTTTCGCTTTAGCAAATATCACATCAGCAAGGTGCATAGACTTAGACTTAGACTTTTCTTTTACTTTATCATTACTTAATATTTCTTGAAAATGCAATCTTCCTTCATGTTGGTCAAATATGTCATATTTGCGTCGTTTGTTACTTTTTGATAAATAATTTGATATTTTAGGTTTGAGGATTAAATACTGACACAATGGCGGCTTTTTTTGGACGAACTAAAGTCGGAATACAAAGGTCCAGTATCAATGTATCAATCGCTAATGATCCAAAAGCTAAACTGATGTACTATCTGGATTGTATGTGCTCCGTGTTAGACCTCAGTGACACAGATAACTTGAACAGGCTAAGGTTCATTTACTATTAATTTGATCTTACACTTTGACAATATTATTTTAGTAATGTTTAAGTTTAAACGAAAATGAAGGTGCCTTATTGCGACTCAATGTCAAGGATACCCTGTTGTGCTTTATATCAGACATTGCCGTTCTCAGTAACTCATAGTGTCTGCAATATTGTTTGCTATTTCAGACGGAATTCGATCTCTCAGGAGTCTAGAGAAGTAACTCGCAATAAATAACCATCCGACCAAGGGAGGTTCCGCCATCATGTCTGTAGTTAACAGAATCATGTGTTTTATATTTTCTTCTCAAAGCAAAACAACTTTTTTTCTTTTTTTTTTAAAAATCAAACAACAAAAAAACAGACCAAAAAAAAACAAAACAAAAAAAACCAGAAAAAACAAAAACACACACACACACACACACACTTTCATTTGTATAATTTCGTATGTCACATCTTTATTTTGACCTTTAATAAAAAAAATATCTTACATGTATAAATTCATTGTATTTTTTTATAATATAAACGGTTCTTTGTTGCGATTAGTTGTTGAATTTTGATAACTGTCTACATTTCTAAGGAATGCTATAATACAGAACGTATAGGATTTTCAAGAAGATGATTTATTTCATTACTTTATTTATTTTGATTGAGATCATTGTTAGCAATGTGTGCAGTTCCTCGTGTTTAGGTACATTAATTTATTTCATAGATACTACGGACAGTACAACTCACTGACTGAGAAGGAAACTGACGCCCTTGTAGCACTTTGCTTTCTATTGTCCCCAGACGTGCTGTCTGGCAAAGTCATTTTCCAGGTATGGGCAAGATCAATTTTTAGCAATACCTTTTAAATTGTTATATATTATTGCATTTTTAAAAAAAAATATTTTCACATTTTGCTTTTGCTTAATTTTCAACGAAGCTAATTATTATAAGCACTTTTTATAACAGGAGCAATATCGTACATCATATCAAGCGTCACTTGAGACGTCACTTGAGATGCTCATGAAAAACAAAGCATTAGGTCTATGGGCCTTAATGTTATATTATGCATATCCAAGTGTACGTATATTGTGACATTTTGACATAACTGTTTTGAAGTGTATATTTAATACGCAAAATAAATAAATAACCTACATAGCCCATGTAAAGCAAATAATAAGCCTCCGGAATTTATCTGTAACATTGAACTGATAAAGAATGGGGCAATCTTTTTATATTTTAGGTAGTTTTATTTTATTTTTATTCTTTTTATTTGTTTATCTTGTCATTCCTAATTATTGGTCGGTGATCATTAAAAAGTCAATCATTTGAAATATAAAGCTTACACTTGACATCGAAAAAAATGCATTTTGTCTCATTATTGCATAAGATGACATCTGAAAACATAAGATGCTTTGTATATCCGGTTAATTAGGCCATGTCTTGCATTTTCTTAGTTTTAAACAACTACAATAACAAAGAAGAAAAAACAAACTTTTATCAAAACAAAATTTTTTAGGTAACGCCACGCTAGTATCTGAAAATTATTGGAACTATTGTTTTTTTTTGAAAGAAAATAAAAGATTAAGCATTTGAGAAATTTAAGTTTCAAAAAAAATTATATTTACTGAACACTCGTTTCTTTATAATATTGCATCGGTATATTTAGTTTAACATTTTTATCCCAGAAAAACCGTAAACAATTATAAACAGCGGATATTAAAGCTTCTGTCCCATACAAAACGGGTCTGAAAACATCAACATAGTTCTTTACCGTTATTTAATGGACCTTTCCGGTTTTTTGTATTGGAACATTTAGCCATACCGTTTTCATTTATTGCCAGGTCAACTGCTCACAAACAGTATCACAAATAATGCAAACCAGGTCAACCAGTGACTATGTATTATATCAATGTAGCAATTGGATAACACGTTAGTCAATTTACATAAAACTGTAAACACTGGAAAGGTCCATAGGCATAGAAGTTGATATTTGCAGTTTTCGCGAGATAACTGTGACCTAACGGTTGTTATGTTCCTATCGGCCAGGCATAAAAAAACCTTGAACATGTAGCGCTTAGGGCAAGTAAAACATACTATATAATAAATGTCATTTTTTAAACGGATTACAGATATATTTTCTTCGTTTTGTCTTTTTCTATAGACATAATTTTCCGTGATATATCATACAGCAATTGATTACAGAATAAAAAACTTTCCAATCGCAAAACGGATCTACTTGCAACCGATTAACGGGTGTGTGTACAATGTGTGGGATAGTAGCTTTAAACAAAATGGCACATGACATTCAAATTGTCATGGATACGTAATAAATACTTGTTTACATTTCAATCAGGATGTAAATATATATCTTGTTGATTTAATTTTGAAATGTTTGTAACAATAACAAATAAAGTGGCAAGCTGTCCTTGATACATGTACTTATAAGGAATAATCTGTCTTCCATGAACTTAGTTTAATTAATTGATAATATCACAGTATTATTATTTCCTCTTTTAATATATTTACATTTATATTATATTTATACTGACTACTTTAGTTTACTTACTAATTTAAAAAAAAGACCTCTAAACATTTTAACTGCTACAGAGGCTGTTGGCTTTGAAAAAAATCTTAACTTTTTAATTGTAGACATAATCGCCAAGTAAGATTAATCCACTGTAAGGCATTTAAAAAAACGATCATTTTTCTGTATTATTTGATAATTTCTATCCTGAGCCATATTTTACAATACGATCTTCTTGAATTAATTGTAAATGAAATTATGCATGAATGTAAAGAATAATAAGGAACCGGTGCTAATTAAGTTCCATCAAAATCCATATATTTGTAAGCAATATTGTGTTATGACAATTTTTGACCTTGGAATAACCATAATAAAGAAAATTTAGCCTTAGTTATTGTTCACATTAAATTATATCGATATTGAACTGCATACACTTGGTAGTAATTTATATAATGATCTAAATATACCACCATAATCACATGTTATTGTTTAGTTTGTTTTAGCCCTGTGTTGTTTATTAATAGACAGTTTGTAAAGGAAAAATTCTATCAAGGGTCATATCAATGTATAAATAGTCGTCAAGGCAACTATTATTTTATAAATAATGATTTTAAGCTGGGTTTTCCTTTTCCTTTGCAATTAACTCGTCCCAGGTATCGTACAAAGTTTGTTACAGCTCTATGATAGACTAGTCTGAAACGACAACTCGTGTAAGATCCTATATGTAATGCTGACTTTGTATTGTAACGTTTTGAAGGCACACAAACCCTGTCGGTGAAAAGCTAGCTCACCACCGAGAGTGGTTTATGCCCTTATATATTGGATACTGTCCTTTATGTGAATTCATCATTTTTTTCCGCATATTGTAATGCTCATTATATGACGTTTTACCAACGTCGTTACATTATAAAATGAACATTTCCACCAGCACATTTGTAACAATATATAATTTGTAGGTCTAATTAGATAGTCTCTGTATTGTTCATGCATATCTGTCTTTCAATGATGATTATTGTATATTGTTATATCTGTATAAACATTACTATATTACGACTAAAGTTTGAATAAAACACCACGTTATTTTTCTGTTTATAGGATGACAGTATGTGTGGGGATAAAAATAATGAATTTTATAAAATCGAGGCCGTACGTAACAACTTGGTCATCTGTGATTCTATAATTATTGGTGGACAACGCAGAGTCGTTTCGCAAATCATGGCGTTCAAACAGCAATGGCTGATCGACTATTGGGAAAATCCAATGAGGCATTTTGTTCCTCGACTTGCTCGACTTGCTGAAGGACCTAGTAATGCCAAGAGTGACAAAAGAAACTGCGACGACTGCTGTTGCGTTATCTTGTAAAACATTCGTTTCTTCTTCGTTGGACGCATGTTTTGTTACCTGTATACAGAGTATCAACCTTACATGTCTCAAATATCTAATTTTACATTATATGCTGTTCTACAAAATGATTGTAATGTGATAATTAATGACCTATGACTTACACTTTATATATATTTATTAATATGTTATTTCATTTACTAATCTAAGCATGATTTATTTAACATATTTTGATAAAACAATCAATGGGAAATTCTTAATGATGTCTAATTGCTGATATAAGATAAAGTTAGTTTGTTTACATGTTTGAAAATATTTATATTGTTAATTTATTCAAAGATTTTATTTACGTATTGTTTTGATGATTTGGTTTCTAAGTTGAAATGGAACTTTAAATACTGGGAAATAATCTTACTACTGATTATTTACAACATTTATAACAAGAAATACTGTTGTATCTCATAATGACTAAAATAACCAGGCGTAATTTCCAAAATGTTTGGCAGAAAAAAAATTGCATCAAAATTCTATAGCATGATTTTATGTGTTCTTCACGGCTGCTAGCAAGGAAATGGACAGAGCTATGTCCTGGGCAGTAAAATCGTAAAGTTTAAAGACCCACTACGATTTCGCACAATAGTATGTTTATGACTCGCAGGCTGTTTCATACGACATCCATAAATATCTGTTATCCAATGAGTCGAACTAACTGTTCCTTTAATCTAGTATGAGCTAAGGATATAACAAAAGTTTTAGATATAAAATATATTGTTGGAAAACTAATTGTTTTATAATATAGATACGTTAAGATTTAAAAAAAAGAAACATTATAAGGGTATACAAACATTTCATTGACGTGGGGAAAAAGAAGCACGAGATCACGACAGGTTTTCAACGACTACCAAAACGCTGCACAAACCAAAATAATTCAAGTTTATACTCATATCCTCGGTGCAACTTTTAACTAATATAAGAAAGTAATGATATCTTAATCATAAAGAACAAAACTCAAAAATTATATATTTATGCGCACGCGATCTGAACAGATTACGATGTATGGTCTGATTTGGAAAATCAAAATCAGCCAGTCAATATGATAGTATATGCAGTGAATTTGATTTTTAAGATTTTTTTCTGTTCACTCTTTAAGCAATGACATTGAGCTTATGGCCAACAATGCGGAATTATCTTAATCTAAGAGGTTGAGAGAATTTTTCAAAATAAACAAGAAGTGAAACGTTCTTAAACATGTGTAATTATTTGTAAGTAAAATAACTGATGATGAAAATATGCAGTTTCATTATTCGACATATTGTCACTCAAAGTTCATACACTTACAGGTATATTGCACTCAAAGTTCATACACTTACAGGTATATTGCATTCTTTCTTAATGTATTTTCATGTATAATATGCAGCAAACGAAATCTATTTTTTAATGAATGCAGTCTATAAGAAGGGAAACAACCCTGGCATGTCATTATGTTAATATTTATACTAGTTATATCCCTTTACAAGTTAAGTGTCGTTTTGAGTCAATTTCCATAGAAAAACATTTGTCAGCAAGTTGTCTATTTTTCAAAATATAATTTTTATTGATTATACAGACTTGCGATATCCGGAGCAAATTATGTCCGGAGTAAAATGAGCCAAAATGTGCTTTAGTTGTATACTATTATATCCATGTAATTGTTAATCTTGTAGTATTTTCAATATATAATGTTCTTATTAATACTGACATACCTCATTTCCTTCAGTAAAACGTTATCAGTCTAAGATGGAATTGTTTTTATTGTTCCCTTTGCTAATAAAATGTTTTGAGAATGAAGAAATATTGCACAGTTAACTGGTAAACACGGTATGAATATAAGTGTCATTAAGAAAATGGCAAAAGGGAATGCAGCTTCCAAAACATATTTTATGCATTATTGTATCCAAACTCATCCTCCTTGTGGCTGATGGGTTGTCTTTAAGGGTTGGGGCATCATAATTGCAGCCACCGTTTATCTCTGCGTGATCATAAGAGGCGACTCAATGGGTTTGAAAAACTTTATTGTATTGGTGCACCGTAAAAATCATTTTCAGTAAGATGTCAGGAAATGTTGCACTAAAAGTATTTTCCCAAACATGAGCATGTCTATATCTTTAAAAAATCAAAGTGCTGAAAGCACTGATGGGGGCGCAATATGTTGCATACAAAAATTCGAGATTTGTATAGCAATCTACTTTAGGTGTTCCAATCTGATATCATTCTTCTTTCAAAGTTGAATAAGTGCCCATTTTGTACACAATATAATAGTATCGCCTCCAAACTATTGTCAAAATTGAAAATCATGTACCAAGAACATACTAACAAACCCAGGCAAAATGCATAATTGATATCATATATATATCATGAATAAACATTTTTAAATTATGACATTGGATTTTGTTGGGAAACTATAGTTGTTTAACCAATTTTCATGTAAAGTACTTCCTTATGTGAGTGTATAACACATAAATCAGTGTACTTACTATATTTATTCCAAGAAATGATTATGCAGATAGAAAATAAACAGAAAATTTAACTGTCTATAAAATATTTCTAAAATAAAACCAGGACTGTAAGAACAAACTTGTTTTTTGTAGAAACCTTTCAAGCACAATAGATAATACATGTGAGAATGTAAAATTGGAATGGATACATATAATCAAGTTGACATTGAAAACAAAGAGCCACTATCTAGCCTGGGCCATGCTCGGCTTTTTTCTTATATTGGAAGTCAAACACATCAGTAGGAGAATATTGTAATATCTATTAGAGTACTCCTAGAAAAACATAATATAAATGTTATAAAGTAAATTTCAAATTTGAATAGTAAAGGTCATAGTTGAATGATAATTGTTCTTTTGTCCAAGAATGAAATAAAATAACAA